TGATCAGAGCTGTGAGCTAACTGAAATTTGGTGGGCCACCAATTAAAGCTTATGGTCAGCCAACGAAAATTTAGTTGAAAAATGGTGACTGGACTGGGGTCTCGGGGCTAGACTTTTGTGATCGAAGAAAGGAGGGGGGACTGAAGTCTGAATTGACGTGGTGTCTTTCTTAGCTAGGCAAGATTGAGATACAACAATATGTAAATAGAAAATTAAAACTTGCAACCAACCATTAAAATAATTTAGTAGTAATTTTCATAAGAAAAATAAAAAATTTTAATTTTAAATCATATAATATATAAATTACTGTAGGTTAAGAGTTTTATTGTGCAATTCAATAAAAAAAAATTGTAAAGCTTATATATAACTTAAAATTAATTACTAATAAATAAAAATAATTATCTATTATACGATCATCAAATATATATAGTAAGAATTAAGAAAAATTAAAATATCTTAATAATTAAAATAATAGAATTAATAAAAAAATTAAAACACATTTAATAAATTAACACATAAAAATCATTAAAAATATTTAAATAATTTAAATAATTTCTTAATACGTGAAATAACATTACATCATTTTTTTTTCTCAATAAAATAACTCTACATTGTATTTAAGCTATATGTCTATTCTTACATCTTTTGACACGGGATTTATCCATTGAACACGATTAGAAGGAATCGAATCACGCCATTCACTGCACAGTAAAAGGTCCAATCTTTTAAATCGTCCCACGAAATATTGCACCCATGAAAGAGGGAGTAATTTCATCGCCGTAATCCTCCTAGTTGAAATTATTTATGCTCTCCAGCCTCAAATTCCAAGTCTTAGTTTGTTTTCCGCTGGACATTTCTTACCAACATCTCACTCTAGTATAAAATAATCAGCCTAACTGAAAAGATATCCTGGGATTCCAATTGACTTCCACGACTCTTTTGGCTTATGATAAAATGATTAAAGAGTTAGAGATATTAGGCCGGCGAATCACATGGCTAGCACACAATAATGTCTACGAATATCATAAATACATATCCTTGGAATTTATCCTCCTCACTGTAAATTATGATTTCCACCTGCAAGGGAAAACTAACTTTAGGGTCGTGGAGTTATTATAATCATGCCACCTGCATCAAAAAGTTTGTCCTTAGGGGTGGCAATTTGCCCAGATTCTTGCGGGGTCTCGCGGGGATCCTTGTCATGGGGATGGGGCGAGGAAGAATATTTCCCCCAACGGGGCAGGGACAGGGGGCAATCCCCCATGAAATTTCACAGGGAATTTTCCCAACCCTGTGGGAATCCCCTTCCCCGCAAAAAATTTTAAAAATATATAAAAATTAATTTCATTTTAAATTTAATATAATTTTCAAGCTCAAACCCAAACCCAATTTAATAAAATTTAACCCAATTTTTTTCAAGCCAAGCCAAGCCAACCCAATCCTTTTAACCCTGATTAACCCTAATAAAATTCTTTTCTCCAGTTCTCACACTGCCTCTGCCTCCTCTCACTCTCGGACTCTCTGTGTCTCTCACCTAGGTCACCTTCGACCTTCCTCTTTGGCCCTCCCCTACGAATCTCAAACCTTAAATCCTGTGTTGCACCGCTACTCCGCCACTACTACACCACTACTGCACCATTGCTGCGTCGCTACTGCTGCTGCTACTCAAAGTCGAAGTTGAAGTCGATCTATGGACTACTAAACGGCCTTTGCGACTGTTGCTAAGCTGCTGAACTGCCTCTGCTGTCGGACCACTCCACCTACAACTACAAGCTACAGATCCAAACGGTAAGAAGTTTAAATAATTTGTTTATGGGTTGATTTAACATAGAGAAAGTCTAGATTTTCTAGAATTTACTAGATTCATTTACTGCTCATAGACATTTATATTAATGAATTGCCTAGTTAATTTCTTTAAGTATACTGATATACATATAACATAAAAAAGTGTAATAGCTTCTCAGTAAAATCAAGAAACTGAGAAAACTGTGAATGCTTGGCTATCTATTTAATTTTTAAAGTTTACTATGAATTTCAATGAAATTGTGAAAGGGAAGAATTTCCATTAACTAGAGAAAAGTTTAAAGTTTAGTTTATATTCAATGTAAAGGCATAACTGTTTTTTTAATTTATGCTCTTGGCTGCCTCTCTTCATGTTGGATGTTGGTTTAGTTATTTTATTTATATTGGATTAATTTTTGCTTATGTTTGGAACAAATATGTTGTTTTATGTTAGATTAATCATTATTTATATTTGGAACAGCTTATGTTTGATTAACCTTTATTTATGTTTAGAATAAGTTCATCGATTTAATTATTTATGTTAAATTAATTTTTATTTATATTTAATTAAAAAATATATATATTTAGATATTAATTGGTGGGTGTAATATCCCAAAATTTTGGGGTATTTTAGCATTAAATTGGGGACTTATTTGAGGAAAAATATTGTTTTGAGGCTTAATCGTAAAATTTTTAGAAGTGAGGGACTAAAAAGAAAGGAAATTAGGATAAGGATGAATTGCTTTTTCTTTTTCTTTTTCTTTTT